ATATATATATATAAAAATTATTATATACTCAATCATAAGCCGGTTCGTTTATAAGCTGACCCCCCCCCCAAGATGGATAAGTAAAAATGGAATTTTTTTATGACCCATTCATAAGCAGATTCAGGCAAACTTTGGCTCCCGAGCCATCAGGATAAGCCGCTGGCGGGCCGAGACGCAGGCACGGAGGTAAACCTAAGTAAACAAAGTGACCCAGCCTGCCAGTGGCTTACCCTGACGGGCTGGGACAGCAACTGGTAGAGAAATTTTGGGGGGAGAAGCTGGGGGTCAGGGGAGTAACCCCTGTGACCACCCCTGACATGACCCCACCCCTAGCCTGGGACCCCCATACTCTCCCCATCCCATCCCATCCCATCCCATCCCTTCCCACCTTATCTGGGGAGGGCCGGGGAGGATGTCTCTGGCCTGGCTGGAGCTGCTCCGGCAGGCTGGGTGGCACAGCCGCAGCCTGCTCTGACGGGCCAGACCGGGTGGCGCAGCCGCAGCATGTTCCGGCAGGCCGGGTGGGCGGCGTGACTGAAGCCTGCTAGCCCTGGAGCTGCTTCGGAGGCTGGGGGAAGAGCAGCGTGGCCAGAAGTGGAGACACTCTGGCCCCGCCTCTTCCCTTCTGGCTCTGCTGGCTGTGCTGCCTCTCCTTGCTCCCTCTGTTGGGGGGAGGGGCTGTGTCCCACCTCTCCCTCTCTATACCTGTTCATAAGCCGACCCCCTTCTCTGGTGCTTCCATTTTTTACTAAAAAAAAATTTGGCTTATGAATGAGTATATACGGTAGATTTTTTTTGTTCCTACCCACTTTCCTACCAAAGAACGATCACTTAGCAGGTAGTGGTCCATCAGCCTTGTTTACATCTGGCAGAGGCGTCGTCTTGCTCTTTGTCTCTGAGGAACTGGTTTGGCCACCCCCGGATTTATCTGGAAAACATACTTTTGATCATTATCTCAGCTTTATGTTTATAACTTCGCATATAACGCATATGTGCATTTTACTGTGATATTATCGATCAGCAAATTATGAGTTTTTAAATGACACCCTTATTATTGGTGCACCTTGGACAAACATTATTACAATAGCATGTAGGGTGTGAACATAGGTATATATTCTGTCACATATTTAATGACTTGGAGACCAGGCTGGTTGCATTGGTAGATGGTCTCCTCCTTGCTATGTATGAAGAGGCAGTGTCAGAGCTGACATTATTCAATCTATCAGCGCCTTCAGTACTGTTGATTGCAAGGTGGTGTTGAACAGACCTCTGGACCACAGTAGGAATGGAGGAGGCTATTTTTTTGGGTTGCTCCATTCTTGATGATCATTCACAACTAATTTTTGAGGACAAGTTTTCCTCCTTCCTGACGGTGTTTGTATAAGGGGTTCCACAGGGTTCTGTCTTGTGTTCCCTGTGGAACGTGTACATGGGATCTTTAGGAGGGTTGGTAAGGAGACATGAGTCTTTAGTATATTGGTGATACACAGATGTCTATCACCATTCTGTCCAACCAGGCAAGAGCTGTGCTTTCCCATAATTTTGGTAAGACTTGGGTATACATGACGGCTAATCTGGGAAGACTCAATCTGGATAAAACTAAGGTAATTTTGATTGGGGAAGCAGCTACAAGACATGGCCAGGATTATCTCAGTCTCTTAGACCATGGTATATATCTGTCCTCCTTTAGTTTGTGTTCACAAAAATCTAGGGATATGGTTAGATTTCCAGCTACTCTTAGGTGGCAGCAGTGGTCAGGATGATACTCATCCTCATGTGATTCTAGCCAGGAGGTTGTAAATTTTGGTGCTGGATGCAAGCCTCAGTGCTACTGGTCATGTTTTTGTCATCTTGAGGTTAGACATCGGCTGTGAGCTCCACATGAGGCTATGCCTGTTCAAGACCATTGTGAACTGAAGCAGATATTAAATTTGGCAGTCCACTGATTGTATTATCTCTTGCCATGATCTTCCCTGACTGCCTGGTAGTCTCCTGGTGAAGTTTAAAATCTTGTTCTATGGGTCAAAACCAATCAAGTGTTTATAACCCATCTGTTTAAGTAACCATCTTCCACCATGCAGTACTGCTGTAGCTGTGATCAGCGGAGATGTTGGAGCTTATAAGAAAGGGGCTGCTGGTGGGTCTTTCTCAACTTTGGACCCCTCATCTCTGGGACTCACTCCCTGACTCCTGTCTAAAATAGTCCAAATCCCTTGACGTTCAGGGCACTCTGAAATGCCTGTCTATGATCCCAACTTTTGGGTGAGTAGGGAAAAATTGTGAGGTGGTAATGGTGAGTTCTTTATTTATTTTTCTTTGATTGTTGGCATGGGAGTGACTTGAAATTGCTGGATTTGTAATTTTGTAAACTTTTTAAAAACCGGAGTCTTAAATATTTGTAAAGAGCACCCAAAGCTCATATGTTAAAGAAATTACAGTTTCTTTCCTTTTGTTTTCTGCTGGAGATGGGTACTTGAAGTATATGGAAGTTAAAACTTCTGTAGCATGGATTAGTTGCTGATGATTCTTTTAGCAAAATGTGCAAGCCAGGTCCATGCTGCTCATGGTGGTGGTGTCATCCCTCATTTATTACAGCGTTAAGAGTTTCAAATTGCCTAATTGGGTTTCATGAGAAAATGCCTTAATTAATTAAATGTGCTGACTTGATGGTACTTCCTGTTAGTAAGGCAATAATTTCAGTCTGGGATGAATAAACAAGTGCTGATGCTGTAGGCCAAAGCCTCATGTAGCACAGGAATCGGATTGTTGTTGCTGAGTTAAATGGAACTTACTATAATAAGTAAGTTCTTATTAAATTGACATTTTGTGTTTAAATAATCACATTTTAAATGAGATTTTACAAGTACAAACCCCAAAAAATAAGCTGTAAACTTTGGAAAAATCTCACTCTATATCTACTGCTTCCTCTTCCTCCACTAATGTTTTAAACCTTAATAAAACTTTGCACACTACAATTGGATCTTATTGTTGCAAGAGCAATCGTTAATTCATTTAAGATACTCCAAACATAGACATTTAACAACCTGACTTTTTAAAAAATATATACATTAACCTGATTCTGTATATGGCAAATGGAGTGCAATATATGCATATCTTCTGAGATATATTTATATCTGCTGTTTATATACATGTTCACTTGAGATTAATCCAACTGACACTGGATGTCACCATTGTATCACAGAAACAACTGCAAGCAGGTTGGGACCTCATTCTTGGTGTGTAAAGCCAATTTCCCTTGCTTTAGAAAAAAGTGTTTTGATTTGTGACTCTCCCACTGCGATGAAAAAACTCATGTTGTGGAATGCTATAACATTGTGTCCAGTCTTGCCACTTATTCAAAGTGAGCTGTTGTCTTTCAGTGTGAGTAGTCCCACTGATTTCAATGGAACTGACTCTGCCACTCTTACATTGCATAGTCTTGGTGAAATCAATGCAACTACTTGTGGAGTACAGTGTTATTCAGTCTGAGTAAGATGGCAGAGACAGGAACTCCTATAACATTGGAGTTTTGGGGTGTGGAATGAAGTGACAGGTGGAACAATAGTTTTGACTAAGCAAATACTTAAACTGAAATTATTTGGATTAACAATAAAAAAATCACTGATATGTGTTATGCTGCAGCACATTTGAACATACATTCAGTTGCAACAATTGGATAGGGGACTAGGGTGACCAGATGAGAGGAAGAAAATATCAGGACACATGGGGGGAGGAGTTGCCGGCGGAGGAAAAAAAAAAGCGGAGTGCAAAATATCGGGACGCGGGACAAACGCCTAAATATCGGGACGGTCCCGATTATATCGGGACGTCTGGTCACCCTATAGGGGACTTCCTTAAGTCAGTTGGGGGGTGGGGAAGTAACGAATCTTGAAGATTGAGAGGTCCTTTAAAATATGGAAATTATGCACAAGGTCATATTTGCAGCTGTCTTCTTAAAGGCATTTAACTGTATAATATGAACTTTACTGTATATGTTATTAATGATGCAATGGATGTGTAGCTGCATGTACAAAATTAAGTTCGTGCTCTATGGATATTTGTATAAATAAAAGACAAAATTCACTTCTGTCCCAACTATACAGAGCAGTGAAGTGCACATATAATGACTACTGCAGTGAGGCTCACAGAACATGTAACAAGAGAGGACCAAGGGATGGAAGGAAACTCTGTCCTTTATGGATCTTCTTGTGCCCAAATCACTGAAGAAACAGAATACATAAAAAAGGTACAATTTTTTCATTATTCTTATTGTGCTGTCTTGTCCTCTGATCCGGAGGAGAACAATGAATACATCCCATTGCAAGTAAGAAAATAAAAAATCTGAATCCTTCTACACTGTCTAAATTTTCCAAGCTAAATAAGTGTGTGTAAACTTACTGGGAAAATTCACAGTTCACTGTCCCTTAAACTCTTTCTGGTCTAATACCATTATAATGGAGTCTAACACACAACCTCAAGGAACATTGATTAGTTTGAGACAAGGATTTAATTGGGGTATGCACAGCTGTCTTTATAATGAGTCATATGAGGGAGCAGACCAAATGCTTGTCCGAATGTCACTCTGAAAATTTTGTACCAAAATTCTCAAGCATCCCATGATCCTAAGTCATATTCGTGATACAATATCTGAGGAAGGGATGAATTTTTGAAACATGTGCGAGACTTATAGCATATGCCCTCTTTTGGGTCAATGTTGATCCTGACACTAAAATAAATAGTTAAGTTCCATGCATCCATTTCTGCATCAGAGATCTCTTGGACAATGTGGTTTGGCTTGTTGAGGACAGATGTTTTATTTCTAGTATCCAAGCAAAAGAGCACAATGGTGATCATTCCCAAAGGCAACTTTTCTGCATTGCTGCTGACCTAAGGAGAACGTCCTGGAATAACTAACCTGGCAGATTGACAAGAAAAAATCATCTTTCTTTTTGTGACCTATTTCTAATCTTTTCCCTGCAGATCAGATCCACACTAGCAAAGATTCAAAATCAGGTATGCAAAGAAGCAGCAAACCATAAAATTGCAAATGACAAATCAAATGCATAGGCTTCCCTTTCCCTGCAGCTCCCAGTCCCAACCCTCCCTGCACAACCGCTCACCATCTCCCGTCTAGCTCCCAGTACCGCTCCCCACTTTCATCCCCAGTCACAGTTGCTCTGTTCACACTCTAAACTCTGTCTCGAGAACATGCTCAATCGCTCTGTGGGGATGGCACATACACAGCCTTGTCAGCACTAGGAGATAGGAGGGGCTGGAGCGTGCTCAGTGAGGATGGAATTTTGGAGATTTTAGCAAGGTCTAAGACAGGGGTAGGCAACCTATGGCATACGTGCCGAAGGTGGCACACGAGCTGATTTTCAGTGGCACTTGCACTGCCCGGGCCATGGCCACCAGTCCAGGAGCCTCTGCATTTTAAATTAATTTTAAATGAAGCTTCTTAAACATTTTAAAAACCTTATTTACTTTACATACAACAATAGTTTAGTTATATATTATAGACTTATAGAAAGGTACCTTCTAAACATGTTAAAATGTATTACTGGCACGCGAAACCTTAAATTAGAGTGAATAAATGAAGACTCGGCACACTACTTCTGAAAGGTTGCCGACCCCTGGTCTAAGATCTCTACAGAGCATGTGAAAACGGTGATTATTCAAAGGCTTAGCACTTGACCAAACTTTGGTGGATATTAAGAAGAATATCAAAAGGCACAGCACTGATAGAAAGGCCACTCTCTAATCTATGCTCCAAGCAGGGACTTTCTCTAGCATCATTCTGAAATGGCTGAACCATTTTGGCAGAAACATTCCAAAAATACTCATCCTGAAGGAGACACCTGGCATGAAAAATATTAGCCCAAATGGATAAAGTCTGGCAAATATAAGCAACTAAAAGAGGGTCTTATAATGGGAAGTGTCCGGCAACCTTCATAATAGGCGTTGCTGCTAGTCCCAATACTATAATACACCATATGCTGCAATATTCTAAATGTTAATTAACCTCATGTACGAAGTAACACTCTGGAGAACCAAAGGCAGTTATTTATTGGTAATGATGTGCTAATGCTTTCAAATGTAAAACCCTGGAGAGCTGCACAAATAGAACACTGTTTTATGTAATATTGAAGGTGGGGAATTAGTCAGTACCTGGAAACTGTGGTGATTGTTGCTTTGTAATTATTCTAGACCATGATCCTGCAATGAGCGCCATGCAGGCCTGGGTACCTGGAGCTCATTGCAGGTTGGGGGCCTGAGATAGGAAAGTAGATGAGGGCAGGGTTACCTTCATGAACCCAGTCTGCTAACGCTGTCGTTTACAAATTATTTTCATGTTTGTTCATTTTCAGCAACCTTTCCGAGTGCCCAGAAATGAGTTGGAGGGTGAGAAGGACACGCTTAACTCCAGCTACAATCTAACCCTGGAAAAGCTGAAAGAGACTGACCAGCAGCTCTTGCTTGTGAATAGGGAGAATGAAATACTAAAGATCAAGGTGCATTCCGTTTTAACAGTCTCTAATGCATATTTCAGCTTGTCAGCTGAAGAGAAGATCCAGTTTTACCTGGATTAAAGTTGCATCCCAGCAGTGGCAGGAAAGCAATCGTTCATCATGGCATGGCCCTCTCTATGAAGTGCAATAACCCTGCAGAGTCTCATCAGATTTTCTTATTAGGATGAAATAGATTTTTAACTAGCTGATGGTGGAATTCATACTGAAGCCGTTGTTGGGAACTACAGCTTGTCGGGCTGTGCTCTGGGTTTGGATTTTCTTGCAGTGGCTCCTGGCATGAAGTCTGCTCAGCCAGTGGTCTAGAGCAGGTGTGCTTGTAACCAGTCAGAAATGTATCAGTCATTTTAAACCCTCAACCTTCATCTCTGGTCAGGAGGGGCTTTTGTATCACATAGAAAATCTGCATCCTTTATTCAAAAATTAGAATTTAAATTTTATTTGCCATATATTTTTATGGGTTTGTAGGGTTTTTTTTCCCTGCAAGAATTGGTGCTAACAGCTGTTCAAACAGGATAGCAACTGCATCATTTTTGTGCTACCCGATTTCCACACCAAACTTTTAAAGTGTGACCTACGTTATTAATCCTATTGCAATGACCTTTTCCAGCTGGATGCGACAAGAGAAGCAGGTGCACAGTCTCTAAGACATGCCTCGAAAAGTCTATATGAGAATTACTGCAGTCGGTCTGAAGAACTTAAGAAAAAGCATGAAGATGATAAACAGCTGATGCAGGTACAGCACTCTCCTGTGTGTGGAAAAGGCAAACATTGGAGCATACAGGGATACAAGTGTTCCTTCTGTCCAATATGCTGGCAACTCCATATGTCAACATAATAAATCAGTACCTTGGCTGTATAAATAGAAACCTAACTCTTTAAAAACACGACTCTGTGGGTCCAACTGATGGTTCCTTAAAGGGGCCTGATTTTCAGAGGATGCTCAGCACATTCTGAAAACCAGGTCCCTTTAAGGTGGAGACCCAATGTGGAGGGGTCCAAAATCACTAGTCATTCTTGAAAATGTAGGTCAGGGCTTCTAATGCAGACTTCCATTGTCTTATAGGCTTAACTTTAACTACAGTACAATATAAAAATGGAAAGCTTAAAACAAAACTCTTGTTCTGTTTTCCCTGTGTCCAGTCTCAGATTTGATGGGTACAGTGCTCAAAATAAGGCAGGAATAAAGGGCTGGAATTTGCCCTATTCTCTCACTGCTCACTGTTGGGGGGGGGAAATAGCATGGATCTTTCTTGACTACAGGTGGTCAGGATTTTCACAGAGGGCCTACCGGTGGTCAGTTGTGGGACTGGCAACATACTGAAGAATAGCAGCAAAATGGTTTTGCTGAAAATGGAAATCATCTTCATTCATTGGTTTTGGCTTTTTTTTTTTCCCTTCAATTTTCTCTAACCACAGGCCTGCAAACTTGAGCAAGAGCAAAAATTGAAACAAAATCTAGAAAACGTCAATTGTGTAACTGAAAGACTCGAAGAAAAGTACAGCCGGATTGCCGACATGGAGAAACGAGTGCAACGAATGGAAGAGGTATGCTCATAGGGCCCAGTCATGCAGTTCCTGGATAGGCAATAGGAAACTTCCCTATGCAAGGATCACAGCCACTGTCTCTGAGGCCATTATGTGGCTTTTGTTAGTATCTGTTGCACAATACTGAGGCCTGAGCTTGTGGGCTGTTAGCCATGTGGCCAGTCCTTGCTCACTTGCATATTCTTCTTGATCTGGAACAGGTGCTATGAGTAAAGGTGTCAAGCTCTGTGGAACTACAGTAAATATCAATTTCAATTGTATTAGCTCCTACCTCTTAAGTAATAGAACTACAGTGTAAAGGGAAGCCTAAGCACTCTTTATTGTCAGTCTCATGTTGCAATCTAATTCTAAAGAAGAGTTCTATTTCTTTAAAAAGTTTTTGGGCCAGATGCTCAACTGGTATAAAAGTCCCCTTGATTTCAATGAGGCTATCTCAATTTACATCAGCTGAGCATCAGGCCCTTTAAATGTAATTTGTAAATGAAATGAGGGGTCAGGTTTCTTTTTCTTTCAGTTATTTAAAAACTAGATTTTTAAATCAATTAACTTACTTAACCTAAGTGCCATAAATTAATTCTAATTTACGAGACTTGAAATGTCCTGGTTCCCAATGGTTTCTAAGAGGGAACACCTTCAACTCCTACTCTTGCATTGTCAAAGTACTGTGTATTGCAATATGCTATTAATCTCCTCCCCTTTGTAGTGAACTTCTTTCCAAAATCCTTCCCAAGTTCTCAGCTGATTCAGAAGCAGTGAGTGTTTATAGAGAACAACTTTCCAATTGTAGTAAATAATCGTGAGCCAGTGAAAGGTATTGCAATGAACATATCACATAAAATTGAACTTTCACTATCTGTTCTGGAGTAATTAAGAATGCAGCAAGGTTACACATCACTAATACAGTTCTGCCAAAAAGTCAGATTAAAAGCATTTAAATGCAATGTGCTTTCAGGACATTTTTGTCACTTGTCGTGCCAAGCTGTGGTAGGCTCCTGCTACAACTAAGCTGCAGCCTGTGATGGGGCAGTAGAAGAGTTCGGTAGTTCCCCCAGCAATTATGAGTGACTAGAGATAATTCGGTGGGGGAAGCTCATTCTGCAGTGGCTGCTGCAATGTCATTTAATAGGGGCAGCATGTGCACTCTCCCACCCCCATGCTGGATCAGCTCCAGTATCTCACCAGTACAGGAGCTGGGAGGTGGGCCATGTCTCCACCCTAACCCCATTCATCACTCCATCAGTGCTGCTAGATTCTCTCCCTGTTCTTGTGGTTAGGTTCAGATCGACTGGAAATGTGGTTGGCTTATGCTCCTGCAGCCAAGTGGAGGGACAGTTCCTTGTCCCCTCTCCTCACTTTCCCTGATCCCTATCTTCTTGCACACCTGAGTAGAGTCAGCCACAATAACTCCTCTTCCGATATTTTTAATATACCTCTGAACATCTTTCTCCCAGAGTATAATGCCTCCCAGCTCCTGAAGCATTTCTCAGTGGTGTTCCCAAGCCCTTCCCTCTGGTACACCCAGGCAATCCTCATGCACATCAATAGGTTTCTTACCCCATGGCCTTTCTTACCTCACTCCAGTTTCTTACCCCATGGCCTTTCTTACCCCACACCAGTTTCTTACCCCATGCACTGAAACTTTCAGAGATGCCTCCTATACCTCACATCTGACTGGCCAGGCTGATAGCAGATGTGGTTTAGCACTATGTAGTTTGGCATTACAAATCTGCACACAATCTGTTGCACTGTGGAGCTGGCTGAGGAAAGGTGCTGTGGGTAGAACACACAAAGCTTCATTTTCATGGCTACATGCACCACAGCTAGGATCTCTTTCAGCCAGCTCCATAGATAGACAAGGCTTATATGTTGATGTGTTTGACTCATATCTCTTGCTCCTAAAGTTCTTTGCCATATTGAAGTCAGTTGTAAAACTCTTTTGTACTTCATTAGGGTCAGGATTTCACCCTGACAGGCTAAGAAGATACATCATGGGGTGGCTGTATGTATTAATGTACTCTTTAAATTTACAACTAGGAATTATTGTACTTTGGTAACTGACATCTGACTATTTAGTGACCTAAATTTGTCACTTAAGAAGAAGTTTTCTAGTTGGATCAATTTTAATCTCTTGACCCTCAGATCCATCTTTGCAATGCAAAGTACCACTGCCCTTTTGGTATAGTTCCTGGAGCAGAAAGTGAATTGAACACATATCAGTCAAAAAGCTAATCTTCCTTACTGACAGGCTTTCCTTTAAAAAAAAAAAAAGATTTCTAATTGAAATAATCATTTTTTCCACTGTAAATCAATACACAGCTGCTCCCTGGTAACCCTGCCTTTTCTGACCCAATTCAGAATGATGACAGATGCTTCTGGACCTCGCAAGGGGATGAGGGTATATCTGTAGGTAAATTTCCAGCTGGTTACACCTGACGTATCTCTGATGGTTTTGTATGTTTTCAGATAGTGATAGAAAAAATAGTTAATCACTTTACATATGTTTTGTATGTGCACATTATTACTTCTTCATTTTTCCGTAGGAAAAGAAAGCATTAATAGAAAAAAAGCAGTCATTTGAAGAGAAGCTTCTATCAAACTCTGAAGATACTAAGAGGTGAGCAAATTGCATATGAAGAAATGCTTTTTCTGTTCTGTAGGATTATTTCAACTGAAATACCTAACAATAACTTGGCTAAGTTCTCCCAAGTAGTGGATATATACATGATGTTAGGCCTAACGCCTTCACTGTCTTTACTTTTTAAAGAAGAATATAATTTCTCCTGTGACATGTCCAGTAGGGTTTCCAGACCTGGGTTTATTTAGAGAATAAGTAATTGTTCTCTACTACTCTGACATCTGAAGGCATGCGCTCAAATCTTGCTGTCTTTACTCTGGGAAAACTCTTGGTTCAATTAACAGGAATTCTGAGTAAAGACTAATTACGGATTGCAGGATTTGGCCTGCAGAGAGGAAACCATTCTACCCACTTCAACCCCCACCCTGTTAACCAGAATTAATATCTTAATGGCTTTTAGGGCCTCTTCCAAAGAATACATTTTAATAATTTCTATCTTCAGTTCAATTTCCTCTAAAGCCCACCTCCCTCCCTAGGCTTCAGAGCCTGGGCTCCTGCCCAAGCCACAACTTCAAAGCACTTTCAACGTAGCTAGCACAAGCCCTACAAGCCCAAGTCTGTCAACCCAGGCTGGGAGGCTTACTGCCACAGGCTATGTAGACGTTCCCAAGTTACTATGCAGTACACTATTACTTTGGCAGTATGTGCCATGATGAACTGTTGAAGAATTACTCCAATATATTATACCTAAACTTTATTCTTCCAGTATGAAGTATGAGTGGTGCTGTTTTTCCTATAATTGAATATAGTTGTTAAAGATAATGTAAGAAATAAACTACAATTGTTCCTTCTTTTATATCAGACTGCGCTTATTACCCATGAATTAAATTAGTTCACATACAGCTGATATGAGTCAAGGCCGATATAATGACTTGGAATCCCATGTGGAATGCAAATTTTTGGATCTGGTCACTAAAGGAATCTTAATGCCTGTATTTATAATTCATATATTAATACAACTTTGGCCAAACCCAAAAGGTTGGTGCTCAGATTGCTAGTTGGTATATTCTTAGTTCAGAAAGCATATGTCAGGCCACTCATTAGATCTTTTGGGAATAATATATCCCCTTAATATCCACTGAAAACATTATTGGTAATCTGTCTTTTCCCCACCAGCTGTCTTGATCTTCAAGTGGAGATTTTCACGGTACAAGAACAGATTTCTCACTTGCAGCATGTGATCCAGACCCAGCATCAAAGCCTACGCAGTGTGATACAAGAGGTCAGGTTAACCAAGCACGTTTAGTGTATGGGGAACAAAAATTGGAGACTTGTTTTAGTGCTTCCTTCACTTTGTGAAGTTTATTATTGATGATGTGATGATCTCCATCACAGGACATGCAAAAACAGTTAGACATAGATGTTATGTACTATTTTATATATAACTTAAAAGAAAAGAAAGCGGCAACACTTTAAAAAATGGGGGTGATTCTAACCTCCAGAGTGACAGTGATTGAAATAGAATGCTTCAAGGAAGGAAGAAAGGAAGGTTTTTGTGTCCTGCAAGTGGGATGGAAGGACTGAGGTAGCTGCCCAAGGAGCATAGGAGAACAGGCCCATACCGTAGGGTTACATCAGGAAATACTGAGTCCCCAGCCAATTTAAGGTACATTGGGAATATCCCTAAAATGTGGCAGAGCATGGATACTCACTCCCCAGGAGAAGACTTAATGTAGCTTCTGAAATAGTGTTTGGTTAGCTACTACTGCAGAGGCAGCAATGAATACAAGAGCTGCAAACCTCTTATGTATGTTCCACAAAATGAACCGCCTTTTTATGGGGAAAATTGAGTCTCTAATGATGCTTGGCTGCTGCAGTTATAGGCACTGTGTAAGACAGTCAATAAAATAAACAGGTGTCTGGAAATCTATAGGCTGTTCCTTACTAGAGGCTCAAATCCTGCTTGCCTGATGCACACAAGCGCTCCTAGTGAAGTCAGAGACTAAAGCAAAAAGGATTTGGTCCCAGATAAAGCTGGCACAAAACTTGAAGCTATTTTAATATTTATTACTTGACATCCCATGTAAAGAGGGTACTAATATGAGCTACTATCACAAAGAGTATTAATTTGTGCTCAGCTAATCTACCTGTACAAAATCTAATTCACATTTTGTGAATCGTCATAGGATCATCAGAGAATCGTCTCATCAGCCTTAGCTTGCTTAGGCTAAGAAAGCTGCGTGTGGGGAATAAATGTGTGTTTGGGCACAGAGACCAAGAATAAAAAAGGCAGACGGGTTACCCTAAATGGAAGTGTGACTTCATGATCTGTTTAAAAATAAAAACAAGTCATTACACTTTCTCTAGAGCATTTTTGTTATCATGTAGACTTCAGACTGTATTGACTTTCTTGATCCTCATGCTCTGATAGCATATCCCCCTACTTAAAGTTTGGTTATTGAAAGTGTATCTAATATATTACAAGGTTTGAAAACCATTGCTAACTTTACTTTCTATCTCTTAGATTGAAGAACTGAACAACGGACTACAAAACCAAGATAAAAAAATTAAGGCTATGAAAGAAAAGATAAATATGCTTGAAGCTCAGGTAAAGGGAAAGATTGTATCATACCAAACTCTACAATTGTGAGCCTAAAACTATTTTAAATCTGCATCTTTTTGAGTCTTCTTTTTTCTTCCCCCAAGTAGTCATCAAGAGATTTATATCATTATCTTCCGCCAACTGTATGGTACAATAAGATTCTTAAAGTATTTTTCTGATGACACAGAAGTGGGAGTGGTTGGTACAGTTGCAGGTGGGGTTTTCAAAAGAATTCGGCAAGGGTCTAACTCTGCTCCTATTGAACACAGTGGTAAGTTTGGTCAAAGTTAGATCAAAGCAGAGTGCTTTTGGAAATCTCTCACCTACATGTCCCTATGTCCCTAGAGCTATTTCTATTCGATATACAATATTGGTGAGTTTGGGGGGAAGAAAGTCAAAACTGCTAATTTCTATTTAACAGTTATTATTTGCACTATGGTAGCACTCACTGCCTGCCAACGCACTTTCCAAATACGTGCTAAGACACTGTGCCTGCCCCAAAGAGCTCAACCTGAGAACACAAACAACGTATGAAAGCATAAAGGGGAGGGATGAAAGGATAATTGCTTTTTTTGTATCCACTTTCCCCAGCCAGCCTTCTGCCTAATCATAATTCCTTAGTAATTTCTTTTAGGCCACAGGCTGGAAGTGGGAGTTAGGGAGGAGAGGGACCGCGTTCTGCATTTCATAGGGACTGGAGGGAAGCAGTGTGCATTTTGGGGTGGCTAGAGAGGAGGTTGTTGCAGTAATGCAGATATAAAATGAGTGCCTGGATGAGAATTTTAGCAGTGAGGATATAATTTAGGCCCTGATCCTGCAAACACTTACCCACATGGTGAACTTTACACACCACAAATAAAGTGAAGCATTTGTGTAAATATTCTCAGCATAAGACTTATAATATATATTTTGGGCATCATTAAGAAAGGGATAGATAATAAGACTGAAAATATCATATTGCCTCTATGTAAATCCATGGTATGTCCTCATCTTGAATACTGCGTGCAGATGTGATCACCCTATCTCAAAAAAGATATATTGTAACTGGAAAAGGTTCAGAAAAGGGTAACAAAAATGATTAGGGGTATGGAATGGCTTCCGCACGAAGAGAGATTAATAAGACTGGGACTTTTCAGCTTGGAAAAGAGACGATTAAGGGGGGGGTATATGATTGAGATCTCTAAAATCATGACTGGTGTGAAGAAAGTAAATAAGGAAGTGTTATTTATGCCTTCTCCTAACAAAAGAACTAGGGATCCCCAAATGAAATTAATAGGCAACAGGTTTAAAACTACAACAAAAAAGGAAGTATTTAGTCACACAACGCACAGTCAACCTGTGGAACTATTTGCCAGAGGATGTTGAGAAGGCCAAAAAAGAACTAGATACGTTCATGAAGGATAGGTCCATCCATGGCTACTAGCCAGGATAGGCAGGGATGGTGTCCCTAGCTTCTGTTTGCCAGAAGCTGGGAATGAGCGACAGAGGATGGATCGCTTGATGATTACCTGTTCTGTTCATTCCCTCTGGGGCACCTGCCATAGGCCACTGTCAGAAGACAGGATACTGAGCTAGATGGATCTTTGGTCTGACCCAATATGGCCCTTCTTATGTTCTGATAGTCTTAAAACATGTGTATTTGGATTTTCTAATAATGTCCCTTGCTCACTTTCAGCTTCTGAGGAAATATTACATGTTGGTATTTTGGAAAGCATTAGGCTACAGTGAAGAACTGTGCATTCTGTCAAAATAATTACCCCATATTTTCAGCATTGCATAGAAACTAGCCTCTTGCAATTTTACATAATCTTCAATAGCAATACTGTTATTGTTTTGTGTGGTTTTTGGCAACATTTTACAGTTTGTAACAATCTTGTGTAATGACACATTGCAGCAATATAGTTCTTGACATCTCATTGTAAACACTAGTCTATAATTCTGGAATTTACATTGGTACAAACATTAAATATATTACAAATAAAATGCTTTTCTGTTATTCAGAATCTTAATTTCAGTCATAGCAGATCCAGTAAATTGATTCTAATTCCAGTATGTGTGGGGCATTATATTTAATCCGCACACACATATAAATATAATAAATACATATGCTATGTTAATTATAACTCTAATTATATAGTTCTAGACATTTTCAAAGTGACCTGTACAGGCTAATTAGTGTTCCCATCCAGCCACCGTATCCCATCCCATCCCATCCACCACCCATCCAGGTCATGCCTGCCCCCAAGGATCTCAGTCTAAATAATCAAGACAGATCAAAGGATAATGATTGCCATGTTTCAGACAGACCAGAGTGGGGAGACTAATGCATGATGCAAGATGTTGTCCAGGCCATCGAGGAGAATGAGGCACCACAGCAGAATACCCAAATCAAAATATTTTGGGGGCATTGGTTTTTTGATGGAAGAATATATAAATATATAAAAAAATAGTGTAGTCAAAACCTCTTCTTTCTATTGGAAAAACAGATTTGATGGAAAGTTTTTAACCCTCAAAAATGCTTTTCAACTAACAAAAATACTCCTAAACTTCAAAACAGCTGGGCAGGATTTTCTTACCAAGAGAGCAAAATCCAAACAGTGATAGTAATGCTGGGCACAGGAACTTGATGTTTCTTCAGGTTTTGAGGCTCGGCCAGCATACCAAGATTTGCAAAAGTGACTGCATTGTATCCCTCAGTGCCTGTAAACTGTATTGACATTCTGGAAGACCCCAAAGGGCCAAATCCTAAACTGGTGTAAACTGGAATAGCTCTATCAAAATCAATGTACTAATTGGACTTGTTTCTATTTATCTGTGTTGTTGATTTATACAAGCTGAGGATTGCACCCACAAACAGTATCTTTGACTTCCTTAAATGCTATAATGTACTGGTGGAAATGCAATTAATTTAATGTCTCAATTTCAGAATAAAGAACTTAAATACAAGGTGGAATTCTGGTCTGGTCAACCCAAGATTAAAGTTTCAAAAGGTGTCTCAACAATGTAAGATTCTTTTAAAGTTATTGCCATATATCTGAAATCTCTCTTCCTACACTGTCTGCAAATGTTGTTAATCGTAAAAAATTGTGTCAAATGATTAATAGGTGCTATTTGTGTGTTAATGTCACATTTATTCCAAACTGCTTGAATGATTCTATTTTGGTCTTGTTAGAAATAGTCATAACGTTTTTATGCTGTAGTTTCTTTATAAAGAAAGAAAACAAAAGCCTCAATGTGAGAGAGAAATTAAGTAATTGACATTCTAAATAACAGGGGTCTTAAATGTCCAATTGGCAATAAGTCCATCAATGGTGTATCCTTCTGCCTAAATCTCATGTTGCATTCTGACCTGCAAATGTGAATGCCCTCCGTCTTGAAAGAGATATGATGTCTGTCTTATTTACTGAGACACTTATGGAGTCAAAATCATATAACTACACCAACTAGTGAGCATCTGCACAAAATTTTGTCAGATCAACACTAAATATGAAAAGCAGCTTTTAATAATTGGTGAAGAAGATGCTGAATACTGTGATTAGTATGGGCTTAGAGGCTTGCAGTTTCTACTGTAAAAACATTTTACAGTAGAGGAATGCCATCTCCATTAATGTCACTTTAACGATGTGTGTAATTACATAGGAGAGAAAATTACACATTCACCAAAACAAATGTCTGGAGGAAAAAAACATTAAGACCCTTTCAGAAAACCCTCAGGTCTTGTGTGGGATCAACTTTAATTGCATTAGAGGAAGTGAATTGTTCACCCGAGGACCAGCACTGATGGGCTCTGGAGAAGGGAGAGAGTCATTACTACAGAGGGAAGGCAGCCATGATTCAGGTCTCTGAGGAGAGACTGTAAGGGGGGAAGAATGGGAGTGGAAAAGTGCATTTCACACCAATATCTGGGTACAGTAGAAAGTCTAGATGCCTATACTAAGTTTGTTTCATATTGGTGTGCTTCATATTCTGAGTAATCTTTCTTCTCTTTTTTTAGTTCATCCAGGATTGATGGGGTGTCCCCCTACTCATTGCTAGCTAGGCTGCGGAAGCAAAATGGCTAGATGAGGCCATCAGTGGTGTCTGTTTCCAGCTTCCTCATAAGAACCTCTGTCTCTCTCTGCTAATGACCCTCCATTCAGTCCTTTTACATATCTACATAACACAGCATGCTTGGCCACCAGGAATGGCACTTGGACAGAAGAGGCGTCATTAAATGAATAAACAAATTTGGATTTAAGGCAAGAACTGAAGAGACATTGTGTTCTTTAATGGATAGTCAAATGACAGCAGCATCCTGTGAACATTGCTGATGGTGAAATAGATACCATTGTAACAGCTTCTTACATATCGAAGAGTCCATCTTCAACAAGCATTTTATGGGCCAGGAGGTACATCAAACAGTAGTTAAAAGCATATTCAGGATTAACAAACCAAAATTTGCATAATTATATCCAAAAAGGATCGGTGTTTATCAAATTTTAACACAATACTGTAATGTAACTCGAACTTTTTAAAATTGAGATGTTAATTGTAAAAGGCTATTTAATAAATTATATTTAATCTTTTCAATCTTTACATGTTAGCATCTTAAATTTATCATTTCTAATCTAGAGTAAGTGTGTGTCAATGTTTTTTTTTTTTTAAGCTATCAGAACACTATATACTAATAAGTTACTTTGGTTTTTATATAAGCAGTTGGTAGCTTCCTCTAATGGTTGCACAAGTGATGACATGTGCTATGCATGTTGATTGCAGTATTTTCAGACTTTGGGAAAAGTCTAATTAAACAGTTTTAGGCAAAGCAAAAGCTTACCTTCTATGACACTTAAAACAGAATTTATTGCTCTTCCAGACAGATGATGTTAAACTATTTTGCAATAACCATATGTAGGTGAAAATGGTCATCTGACTTAAGTGGGAATGTTGTAGGTCAGCTACAGTATTTATATTTTGAAGCTTTTCCACGGTAAGCTTTCTTCCCAGAGCCTGCCAGTAAGTCTTAATTAAGCTACTGCTACCATCTTCAAGGAGACAGAGTAATTGTTTCTGTACCCTTTCACTGCTAAGAGGGTCTCCCTGGCTGTTTTGTGAGGGAATAAACATTCTAAGACCTGCATGGAACTGAGCTACTTTTACATTGGCTCTATTAGCTGGCAGTGACCAGAATCCAGTGCTAAATTGACTAGATTCAAACCATTGGTCTAGATCAGAGGTGGACAAACTATGGCCCGTGGGCCACATCCAGCCCATGGGTCCCTCCTACCTGGCCCCTGAGTTCCTGCCCCGGGAGGCTAGGCCCCAGCCCCTCCCCCACTGTCCCCCCTTCCCCGCAGCCTCTGCTTGCTCTGCCGCCAGCACAATGCTCTGGGTGGCGGGGCTGTGATCTCCTGGGGCAGCGCAGCTGCAGAGCCCGGCCTCACCTGGTCTCTGTGCTGTGCGGTAGCATGGCTGGCTCCAGCCAGGCGGTGGGGTAGTGAGAATAGGATAGCGGTCAGGGGAGTTTGGGGTGGTGGTCGGAGGTGGGGTGGTTAGAGGGTGGGGAACAGGGGGCTTGAATTGGGGCAGGAGTCCCAGGGGGCAGTTAGGGAACGGGGGGGTTGGATGGGGCAGGGGCAAGAAGCAGGAGGGGTCAGATAAGGCACAGGACCAGGCCACACCTGGCTGTTTAGGATGGCACAGCCTCTAACTGGCCCTCCATACAATTTTAGAAACCCGATGCAGCCCTTTAGCCAAAAAGTTTGCTAACCCCTGGTCTAGATTCTATGATGCATTGCACCTTTCTACTCCCTCACACCTCTTCATATTATTGGAAGTACGGCTCTCTCTGAGCTGTGGTGCAAACGTAGTATCTGTTCTTATTAGTTTGACAGCCCTGCTGGTCACCTTGTTTATTTTCACATTGGGGGAAGTTGCTTATACTAGTGATGGATGCAGCATATAAACTCTCAGAAAATTATTACAAACCCATACATTTAAATGAAGGGGGCAATGAAATATCACTTTGCTGTAATCAATGCAAGGCTTACCAAAATGCTAGTGATTAAAGTTAGGTTTTTTTTTTTTTAATAATTAACCTGTACTGATACACTAGTTTGTGCACTGGTAGAAATGTATACGCTGGGGCCAACCTAGTAGAAAACAGGGAAGAGTAACTTATACCCTCACTACATTTGACCCTTGGCTAAGCTGATCTCATGCTGACATTTTATGAATTCTGGCACTTTTACTTTCTGCAAGGAGCTGACTTTCCTGATGTTTAGACCAAATATGACAAGTGGAGGGCTTCGTTCTAGTTACCCAATGTGTGAGCTTTAAGGGTTATTCTTTCCAGCCCAAGTTTACAAGGCAGTAGAATCTCATCAGGAAACACTTGCAGAGGAGCTGAAGATGTGCATTACATACAGGACACAAATATAATCAGGGCCGGCTCTGGCTTTTTTGCCACCCCAGGCAAAAAAGCCTCTGGCCGCCCGCCCCCCCCCCGCCCCCAGCAGGGCAGGGGAGGGTGGCCGGAGCCCCGGGGGGAGGGCGGCGAGTCCCGGTCAGGGCTCCGCTCTCCCCGGTGGCCAGAGCCAGAGCACCGTGCCGCCCCCCTCCAGGTGCCGCCCCAAGCACAAGCTTGGTGGGCTGGTGCCTGGAGGTGGCCCTGAATATAAGTCTCCACTCTCAGCTGTTAGAGGGTTGTAGTTTAACGGAGATGAGCAAACTGAGGACTCATCTACCTTAGAAGTGTTACAGCAGCAGACTCCCGCTGGCATAATAAAACCACCTCTTTGAGAGGTTGGCGGGAGACGCTCTCCCACGGACATAGTGCTGTCCACACCAGCTCTTAGGTCAGCATAGCTTATCCCACCCCTGAGCAACATAATTATGCCAACATAACCTGTAATGCGGACAAGCCCTCAGGAACACAGGGGGACTCTGCAGCAGTGTAACCTTCAATGTTTAATGCCAAGATGCAGACACGCTCATTGCCCAGCCGAGATACCCTGTGAAACAGCTGTTTAATGGGAATGGTTGTGGTAGAGATCAAAAGGCAGGGCTGTGACTGCTTAGCAACACTGGCAGTTGTTGGCCATACACCATTTTTCTTACTCTGGCTACATCTTACATCACATAAACTGAGTTGTCCATGCTCTCCTTCCTTCTAGCTCAGTGGCTTGAGCATTGGCCTGCTAAACCCAGGGTTGTGAGTTCAATCCTTGAGGGGGCCACTTAGGGATCTGGGGCAAAGTCAGTACTTGGTCCTGCTAGTGAAGGCAGGGGCTGGACTTGATGACCTTTCTGGGTTCCTTCCAGTTCTATGGAGATACACCTATCTCATAGATTTCAGTAGTTATAGTCTCTATATGCTACTCATGGAGCTGATGGAGGAAAAAAAATACACTATATGTAGCTAGGAGTGGAATGCCCCATGATCACTTTTGGACAAACTACAACTCCTATTAGTCATCTCTCTTAAAATGAATCTAATTTCAACAAGATCTTAGTCCTGCATGACTTAATGGACTTTGTATTCATGCAGCTTGTCACTTCATTTGTACCTTACGGTGGGCTAATCCTGAAGTTAACTGCTGGACTAGCTGGAAGGTAAATTCAGATATCACACTGTGCATAATTGAACAGGCTTAGGTTAGGAGGGAAAAAAAACAAAAACACAAAAACCACTTGACTCTTGCATAATTACTAGACAATTGTAGAGTGCTAGCCTTGATCACAGCAATTGCTCTGCCCAATGCAGTCAGTCAATCAGGTACGCTTCAGTCTCATCAAGCCAATCTTTCTTTCCTCAGTTAAGTGCATACCTCTAAACAGATGTATTTGTATAAGGCTTCAAGCAGCATCCCCTACATATCTATCTGTATAATTATTGAGCCAAATTCTGAATGAGTTTCCAGCCCCTTGAAGGACTCAGTATTTGGCTCTTTGTCATTTCGCAAGCTGATACTTCACTCAAGAGGGAGATTTTTGCTGGAAATTTGAACTGACTTGGCTATCCGATCAACCCTCTCTTCAGAGATTGAAAGTATGCCTATTAATAGTACACCATGTTCTATGTCACAATGCTGTATAGCAACTGAGTCATTTTCAGTGACCCTACCAATGTACGGAGTTAGAAGAACTTGATCTGGTCTAACTCTTAGAGACCAATTAGGACCTGCTATATGGAAACAGCCAGTAAAAAATTGTTCCTCTCTCCCCACTTGGTCAGTCATTCTAAACCTGGAAATTTTCTGTTGAAAACACTAGACAGCTGGGTCATTTCATTTATGGAAGAGCTTTATTTTTCTCCCCTCTCCACTCCACCCCTCCCCTCCACACACAGCCAATACAACAGATATAAAATGCGTTTTTATTTTGAAAAGAACAGTGCAGAAACTGAATCACAGGATTACATTCCTTGACCATATCATACAAACCCAGACACCAGAGAATCATTTGACAATATATTTTGAAGCCACCAGTAAGTTGGTACAACAAAATAATGTTAACAGTGTTATGCAGGCACCACAGTCTATTAAGGGGCATACATAATAAAAATACTATGTTCAAGAGTTTAAAATCACATTCATATCACTAGGTATAACGTTTACAGATCTGTTGCAAAGACAAACATAAAACATGCTTAAGGTAACAGAACAGAACATTTAAAAAGGTAACAATAAAACATTGTTAGCATTTGTCGGCTGGTTACCTTTAACAAAATCAAAGAACAATTTAACTTCCATAAATAAGGTCCAGTAAGATACAATTGGTATCAGTTTACAGTATGTACATTAAAAGCCCTATTGAGTAATGAGGCTTGACACCTTTAGGGTATGCTTTCTAAAGAATATTTTCAATTTTTAAATTACCATACGAAAAAGCACACAATGAAGTTACCATCTGTATTTTCCTGAACTAGAGAATATAGACAAAGGAAAAAAAATATATATCTAAAAACAGATCTGTCCAACAGCCAGAGGGATGGTTCTCAGCTGACTGCCTAGTTTCCTGTCCAAAAATTGTCCTATATGCAGTGAAGGGAGGGGCGTAGAGCAGATGGCTTACATGCTCTTGATGACAGGAAAGCAGCTATGAAAACAGTTTCCTATTGAAAATACACCAAAAAGACATTGCAAGCCTGGTCTTACTTGATTCAGGTGGACATCTTTGGAGTTACACCAGTGTAAAAATGGGGTTTTGAGCAAAATCAGAATGAGGCCTGAAATCAATCTCTCTATATAGTGTTTTGTTCCTGTACTAGTGTAGCAGTTTCTAATTTCTGTTTCCTGTCGAATTACCAGGATCCTTCAATCATGGCACCACTCATACAAGTGACTCCATTGAAGAAAGTAGAATTGTTTACGTGTCTGAAGACAATTCACAGCTAGGTTTGATTACTATTGGAAGTACAGTTCTAGCTGGATATTTTGGTTCTATGTCTCTAGAGGCTGGATGTTGATCAAGGGATCTATTTGTAAGCCTTACAGTATTAATCTTAGGAGATGAACTCTCCACTTTGAGTGAAACAGGTTTTGAAATATTTGCTGTCAAGCAGGTATCAAAATATCTCTATTATATA